GAGTGCAGCTCTGAGAGATTTATCCATTCATTTGTTGTGGCTACGCTCGAATGCACCCAACAACACACCATTTCTATTTTATTCTACTAGTCTTTCACTCTGCAGGGTGGCTCAACAGAATTATGTCCCCAACGATAATTATCAATCAAAATTATGGTCTGAAAAATGGAGGCAGAGGAAATTGCTTACCAGGACGTCAAGCAGGAACAGGACCCCCAAAAGAAGTAGTGTGATAAGTGAGAGTGGTGAAAGAGAGCAAAGGGGAGAGAGCAGATTTGCATTCGTGCAGTAAAAGAGCGTTTTACCACCACACAACTTATAGTAACCAAGAGAAGTAGACTTTAAGCTTTTAAGAAACAAATAAGGTCAATTCATGGGCATTACATTAACTTTTGAGTTCAGCTCCAGCTGAGCTTTCAAATACTGGGAAATGTTTAAACCTTCAGCAGCATAGTGACATATGGGATTTAAAGAAAGCAATAACTCTTTTTAAAGGACGCGTTCAGTTAATTTGTTTTTCTAAGTCCCACATCAGTTTGAGGCAATGATTTATCCAGATCTCATTTCAGTGTGGGAGAAACTGCAAAAAAGAGTTAGCTACACACCTGAAAGGAGACAAATCATTTAAACTGAAAAACGCTATCTTTGCTGTAGCATTTCATCTGTTTCAAAGTAAAATGACTGCAGTTTGTTCCATTGTCTCTAAATGGAAACTGTTAATTTGTCCAATACGTTTTCTAAAACTAAAGGGCAAATGGACTGATTCTTATATAGTGGTTTTTTACTCCCCTGGAGCATTCAAAGCAGTTTATATGGCTTGTTCATACATATTTTTGTGCTTAACATTCACACTTTCATGGATGCATCCGGAGAGCAAGTTGGGTTTAGTATCTTATCCATGGACATTTAGTATGCAGATTGGAGCATCCAGGGACTGAACCACCAACGTTAGCAGATGACCTGCCCTACCTCCTGACTACAGCCACCCCGTGGCACCATAAGCAAGGACACAAATTACTGCATTCACTTAATTGAGAATTCTCTCCAAGTTCCAGTCATCCTGGAACCTCGAGAGCTTTTGCATCTTTTTACCTTCCTCTTAACTTTCCGTTAATGCACCTCGACGCAGCGCTTTGCAAACAGTCAGGCTTTTCAGCAATGACCCTCCGCTGCTTACCCTTCTCACGGAGGGTGTCGATGCTCATTATCTGAATAACTATGCCTGCAGTCTTTCCCATGAGTGTAGTTGCATGTACAAAACTAGACAGATACATAGTACCTATACTGTAAATAGCAACCTAACTTAACTGATTGGGACCTGATGAATGTAAAAACAAAGACTTACCAGATTTTCATTTTTTACCTGATTTTTGTTTTTGAGAAAAATGACATATGAGGACATTTCTTTTAATTTCATTAGAACAGTGGCAGTATAACATCCTTGTAAGTGAATATCAGGCCCTTGTAGAGCTAAATTTAGTATTTTGGTCTAGACCAGCGGTCCCCAACCCCTGGGCCTCGGACCGGTATACCGGTCCATGAGTCGTTTGGTACCAGGCCGCGAGAGTTGAGGCTCAGGTGTGAAATGTTTGGTTTTCAGCGTTATTTTGTTATCGTTTTTATCGTTAACTCTGTTTTCCTGGGCCTTTTCACGTGTGTTATGAATAAATCTTATTTTTTTCGGTACCGGTACTAGTTTTATTTTGTTGTATTTATCCGCGACACATTAAAGGCCGGTCCATGAAAAATATTGTCGGGCATAAACCGGTCCGTGGCGCAAAACAGGTTGGAGACCGCTGGTCTAGACAACCCAAACTGTGATGTCAGGTCCTAGGAAGTTACAACTAAAATGGCTCGTATGTGTTAGTTTTTGTGTAAAAAATATATTAAATAAAATGCAAAAAAAACCTCCTTTCACAATATTCCTAATGTTTGAGATGCAATATATATATGTGTGTGTTGATTAATGTCACTGATACAGTAAGATACCAAGTGTCATCCCTCGGCAAAGGCACAGTCGGACTGCAGTGGCATCTTTTGGCAGGACAACGCACCCAGTTACACTACAAAAATGTCTCAGGATTACAGCTCGATCAGACCGAGCCCCAAATTTGGCCTCGCCTCCGCATTGCCCGGATCGGATTGAGCATACGTGGGCTGACCAGAGCAATCCTGATACCACAGCCTGATGGACACACTGCAAACGTCCCCATGCCTGATAACACCGTGCACTGTATCGCTGTGTCGATGCCCTGATGTGTCAGAGCTGTTTTATAGTACTGCTCGAGAACACAATTTTCTATGACAAACTGAAGCTGAACTCTCGCAAAAGGACCAAATAAATTTACTTTACCTCTGTGAGAAAGGCCCTCAGACTGCATAAAGTAATCTCAGTGTGACTTATTTCCCATCAGTAAGAGGACTGTAGGCAAAAGAAACATTGTTGGGTGGTGACCTCCAGTAATGGCTGCACTAAACTGGGATCACACGCTTAAAACATAGCCTCTTGGCATGAAGATTTGCAGTGCTGCAAACAATCAGCATTAGCAAACTCTCTTACCGTGCATTTCCTCTCACTCGGGTCTACTGCGAGTCATACTAAGTCAACACGGTGGAGGAAATAACCTCAGTGCTGCATGAAAATGCTTGTTTGTCTGTTCAACAATGCGTTCTGTAACCTGCAGCGACCGGAAAATAATGTAAAAGCCTGTTGTACCCATGTGAAGTATAACACTTAGCTGAGGTGCTATAGGTCTGTAAAAGTGCATTTATAAAACTAAAGGTATAAGCTGAGTTTAGGTTTTTTGCAGCGCACGTGTGTTGACCAAAGGGATCTATATATGTGGAAGGAAAAGCAAACCTGTTTGAAATAACTCTGAAATGTTATCATGATTCAATAAATGGAGCCCCTCTGTGAAAAACCTGTTATTATGGAGCATTATTTTGCCACGCAACACTGCTTTCAGATTCTGGTGTATAGCTTGAACACAAAACAACAAGAATAAAAAAAAAAGAAAAGAAAAAAAATTCTGCCTGAAGCTCATAAATCTTAGAGAAGCATCCCAGAGGAGAGAGACTTATTGTGTGGAGCTGCTGCAAGTTGTTTTGCCAGAAGCCGATCAGTAAAGTACACCAAAGGTCAGATACAACCAATTGTGGGTTGTAGCTCAGTGAAATTTGTCATGGGTGTGCAGAGAGCATCTCATACAGCAGTGATACATTGTATTTGCTTAAGTTTCACATGTGTTCGCCTTGCCAAACCCAATTATTTCCAGATCGGAATTTCCAGATTTGATTGATTTTGCGCCGTGCATACCCGCCTCACTTTGTTTTAAGCTGTAGTGCCAGCACACATGAAAATGTGCCGTTAAAGGAGATACGATCAAGCACTGAAACATAGAAGAAAAGAAGACAGAAATGAGCCTGAGAGGCAGATTTAAAAAAACAATAGGGAGAGATGGAGTATCCTGACCTTTACAGCAGTGCTTAGTTATATCCTAGACTGCCCATAAGGCAAGCAGATAAAATGAAATTGGCAGAGTGCTCCTTTAAATTTCTCCATTTTTTCCCTTTAATAAAAAGTTGACTTTTTTCACAAATGGACGGGATGACACACACTGTGAGATACGACCAGATTTCCTCAGGTAATACTCTGGGAGAATATATTTCTGTTGTGCTGGGTGAAGAACAAAATTAACCACGCAGTGGCTGCCTACATTACTCACTATGTTTACAGACTTATTTACTGAGTAGAGGGAAGTTAAATACCAGTTTAAATATACACCAGGTGCAGTGTGACTCCAAACTCCATCCTGTTGAGGCTTGTTTCTCTGTCGCGAGAAGGAAAGGGCACACTAAACATTCTTCCTAAATGCAACTGACTCTTCAGCTGCAAAGTGGGGGTTCAATAGACAGTGAAGGGTCTGTGCTCTCTGGTGCATTTCGAGTCCTTTGTGGATGGTTATTTTGCCAGATGGCCTTCTTAAACTCTGGGCCACCGTCCTTGCTGCTGCTGCTTTTACTCTTTGCTCTCTTCAAACGTCTGCTGAAGGTCTCAGAGGATCCCACCTTCAGAGCCAGCGTATGTGACCCTGAAGTGGTCATATGTGACCATCTGGCCATAATACCCTATGTCAATCATACTGGATCGTATACAGCTTTAACAGTTGACATTTGACATATGGCTTAAATCATTCTTTCTGAACTATTTCATTCTTTCTTAGGAAGACAGCCTTGCAGCCACTTATTCCTTACCTATGCGGAATTACCCAGTAAAAGCTTATTTGCTATAACTACTAGCAAAATTATAATAAACGACAAAGACTTTAAGCTTAATGATGATTGTGCCTAAAAGATCCTGCACAGTTTCCTTCCTCAATAGTACCTGACCCTCAACCAGGTTGAGAGTAGGTTGTGGGCAGGTTGTGGTCATTGTTCACAGAAATAGTCCAGCACCCTGTTGTGCTCTCTGGGTGATAATACACCAGATGGTCTTCTGGGGGAAGAGAATTTCTATAGTTAATGGTTAAGAAGCAGCAAAAGTGCCAGTTGCTTGCCTTACATTTTAGTAAGTACTGAAAAAGCAATTTATTTCCACATAGACTGCAAAAGAAAGGGAAGGAGCTAAAGGATAATTAAATATAAATAGAGCTATAGCTTATAACTCTTAACCGACTGGAAAGTCTATCCATGCTTCTTTGTTAATCTCTTATTCTTCCAAGGTTGCAGTATGGCTGGACCATATCCCAACTGACATTGTGCTCAAGTCAAGGAACCCTGGAGCCTGGACTGGATGCCAGTCCATCACAGAGCTAAGAGAGAGGCCTACATACAGTCAACTTAGAATCCTCAATTAACCTGGCATACATGTCAGAATTGAAACCACAGCACCTGAAAAACTTCCTTTTTCAGACCACAGTTCTAACCATGATATGACTGTGCCAACCAATATCTGGAAAGGAATAAAGAATCAAAGATCAAATAACGAGTAAAGTGCTCACCAGAGGATGTTGAGCACAGTGCAGGTTGTCAGACCTCCAATCACTGCTCTCCGAAACCACAGGATCTAAAGATGAAGACAAGAGAACACGATAACCAACATCCGTAATCACATAACTGCACAGGTGATAATACAGAGTTCCTCAAAAGCAAACTTAGTTGCTACTATTCCAGTCGTGCACTTCATCTAAATGATGCTTAGGCAAACTGATCAGTGGCAGAGAGAGAGCATCTTTGTGGGTCTGACTCTTTGTATATGGGCCGTGGATGTGACATGGCAGTTTTACTGTATCACAAGAAATAAAAATTTAATTACCTAGTACTGTCCTCATGGTTAAGAACTTCTCGTTTGGATTTAAATTGACCTATTGTTATAAAACCTCACTTCATTTTTCATTTTTAAAACCTTTTTTTGGCCTGATTTAAAAGGTATTTAACTGTAACTGTAAATATCATGTAATAACAACTGCATGTAACCATGTAATTGCCACCCATGAATTAAGAAGGGGCAGCTTTTATAAATAACATGCTTAAAAAAGCTGATACACACCTCTGGCATAACTAACTATTTTAGTAAATGACATTTTTTTTCCATACATGCATTTCTAAAAATGTAGTTATTTTAGGTTGAAACACAATATAAATGCTTCAAAATTTTTTATATACCTTTATATTTTTTAATTTTCTCTTTCAATATGATCTTTTATAAAACAAAAATATTGTTAGTTATATATTTGTATATATATTTTTATATGACTCCAACTTAGATGCTAGCCTCTGTAGTCATGCAGGTGCTTGTTTATATGAACGATTCCATGTTATTCTGACAATGGCTTTGAAACATTACGGCAGCAAAATGCAGGCCTGTAGTCAGGAACCCTGTGATATGAAGATATTTACATCAGGATACTTTTTTCATTTCAGAGTAGCAAGTGTGTTTCTATTCTGTCTTTATGTATATTTTCAATTGGAGGATTTTGGAATGGCAACAAAGTTATATGGCATATCTCCACTTATGAAGAATGGAAAAAGCAATCAATCTGCATCTTCTGTACCTGGTTTTCTAGACGTGTAGTAAATGAATAGAATTTCTCATGTTATTTTTTGTTAATCACTAAGCCCTTTTACTCTTATTTATTTATATTAATAAATGCTTTTGCATGTGTCCAGATGATAGTCTGAGACAGGAGCTTGGTCAATAAAAGACTAGACTGTGTGGCTGGGAAAGAGCCGTGACCTAACAGCATTACTTCTGACCTGACCAATAAAGACTGACCCATCCTGCAGGTAGGGTTAGTGGCCTATCAGAAATGGTGAGATACAGAAAAAGAAACCTGAATTTTTCCTTCCACAAACAATACCTATCAAGAATTCTTTATTTTGAGACCTGGGGTCTAGTTTCCCGTCATTCTGTATGGAAGTGGGCAAAACTCTCAGCCGACTGTTATTCTGCATACACCACAATCTGCAGTGCATGCCTTTTAAACAGCAGAGAGACCGGCTGGAGGCAGTTTTCCTTCCTCTCGTAACACTCAATAGGAGATACTGGAAATACGACATTTGATTTAAGCGATTGAGTTTAACTGTTTTTTTCTTATATACCATTTGGCACATGACCCTTGTAGTAGGAAGCCCGGCAAAGCTGTTTAATGTCCAACCTGAGCGTGCCAGACACCTGCATTTCCAAATGCACCATCATGAAGGTAACATCTCAAAATTTCAGGGCTGCAAAGCATATGTCTGGACCGTACTGGGGCCAGCTTACTGTGCATCCAATATCTAGATGCATGCAAAGTCATATATTAACATAAAATCAGAGTAAAACAGCTTAGTGTTGTGAAATGATTTTAAAAGGAATAAAATAATGGAGCAATTTTTGTCCCGATTATGACAGTGGGTCGACTCCAAACACTTCTATCTGATGCAAAATAGGCTTGATGAGTAAGGTCTCACAATAACTTAATATTTCTTTAATATTTCTACATGAACTGTTTGCATCAGCGTTAATTAAGGAGTTGAGATGTTCCAATTATCTAGTTAATCTAAGGAACACTTTGTTGTCAAACCTTTCTGCTTCAGTGCTGGAGCTTAATACCAGGAGCCATCAGTAGAATAATAATATGGTTGACCACCTGTGTAAGAGCCTTTCAGTCCTAATTCTTCTCCGAAATTCTAGTTTATTTCTCACAGTGATGCCCGTCTCTCGCTCTCTCTTTCTACTACCAACTCATGTTGAAGAATACGAACACAGTGCTTCCCAAGCCATTTCTGAATTCAGTACACTGAGTCCACAGATCAGCGGGTAGTGCCAGGTGCAGTCCTAAGATTAGATTTACCTGTGTTCTGTTGTGTGAGATCTGTGAGAAAAGCAGAGGCATCACGTTTACAATCCCACCTGTCAAGACCAAAAACAGAGCAGCGCGTCATTCATATGATACCTCCGTCTGTAATCTGTGGGCTTTTTTACTGTTCCTCAGCACAAAAATGTTGATATTCAATATGAGAAGGGAGGCACAGAAAATACCCAAATAGGTTTCCAGATATCACTGCTTGAAATAAAAACATCCCAACAGTATTAACTTAGTAAGGAAGCAAAACTAAATTATGGAAATACTGGTATCATGAATCCCACCTTCTTTTATTAGCATTTTAAACATTTTTTTGTCAGAAACTTTAGTTTAAATTCAAGCAACTCAAAAATTAAGCAGAAAATATAAAGCTGAAAGTGTCAAAAGCTGTAGTTCATTGAGAGGCCTCTGGTTCCAAAAGTGAGTCCGGTCCTCTAGATTCCCATTTTAAAATGCACCTTTTACAGTAAAAGAAACTATGTTCTATATTTGGTTCAACTTCACATTTAACGACAGCTGTACAGCATTTATTAAGGCTTAGTTTGCATTATAAGGGGCGTGGCCATGTCAGATAGCTAGAGCAGCTCCCAAAGCTACCATGTGATTGGCTTATGCTCACTAAATATTTCATCATGAGAAGCAGCAGATATGTTGGGTCCATTTTTTGGAAAACTTAATTTCTGAAGATCTGAAGATTTGTCTTTGCAATTATGGTATTTTGTTTCTATATTAGCCAAATCAAGCGCTGTCACCAAGCTGCAAAAGTTTCCTTGCTTGTTTGCAGTTCAGTTCCTCAATATCATGGCACTTTCTCCCTTTAAAATTCCATTTAGAGAAATCAGTCTCCAAAGGTAGCAGAGAAATAGGTCCCACCCTGCTGAGCTGCACCGCATTAGTCTTGGTTTTGGGGGAGTAGTTTTAGAGTTTCAGCATAGTCTGAATGTTGTTTGAGAAGCTTTTAAAATCCTGACCGGATTTCAGAAGAAAAAGTAATCCATTTTTAATCTTGGGAAAATGATTTAAAGTTGTTCTGTATACTGTTCCACACAACTAGCAGTGACAAACTGCAAAGCAGCTGTCATAGCTGGCAGTTTGCATGTTCAAATGGCTCTCTGAAGTAATGGAAGCGGGTAGGAAGTACAGTCAGAGCTGTCACAGAGATGCTAATGAAACAGAGCAATCACCCCTTAGCCTGCCACAGCTGATGTGTTGCAGTTACTTCAGGAAGTCAGAGTACTCGCGGGTACCCAAACGCACACACTCACTGACACACACACACACACACACACACACACACACACGACTCTCCATCCAGCTACCTCCATCTGTTAAGTGAGTCTTAACAGTTGTTCTGACTGAGCTTGCTCTAACTTTTGTTAGAATGCATTTTGGGATATTCCACCTTCTGTTTACTTTAGTCTGATATTTAAGGCTGTGCAGCGAAACCGAAGACACTGACTCATCCTCTGAAAATGTGTTTTTGTGAAAGGAGAAGCTTAACATAAAATGTAGTGTAAATGTAAATTGCTGAAGTACTTCAAAGTTTGTCATTGCTTTGTGAATATTTAACACTGTATATAAAGATGGATGAAATTACGCCTTCCCAGAAGTGTTGCCAATATGCGCCCTAAATGGGCACAGGCTTCCTCTTCTAACAACAAGCTGGGATGTGGAGAAGTGGCAAAAATCTGTCTATGCAGACATATCGTTGGGTGGCTGGACAACTAGTAGGTAGTAGTAGTCCAGAATTTGATGGATGCACTACACAAAGTTCAACACACATCTGTGCCGGGCAGCAGGCAGGACTTTGATGTCTGGGCTCCATCTCCCAGTAATTCCTTAACAGACTTTGGTTTCAAATGACAGCCAATATTGCAGTGCTCATTTCTATTTCTTCCTCACTTCGAACAGTAGGAGAAGATGGCGATGGATCATCCATCTGTACAGTCTGTGGTTTAATGTTACAAAGTGAAGACAGACGGATGAAAAGAAAAAGTTGAAAAGAGTGAAAAAGAGCAGACTGGACATATGGAGGTCACAAAGAGCAAAAATCAGCACAGACTACCATGACGTCACAGATCCATTACTAGCTGGTGCACTAGATTTTTAAAGAAGATTTATAAACAGTTTAATAGATTTGTATTCTAAAGGGAATTAAAGATATTCTCTGTCGACGCTAGATGTTTGTTCCCAAGTTTAAACAACGAACAATCAGAGGGCTGGACTTCAGAAGCAGTGCTTCTTATGTTCTTAATCGCCTGTTTAAAAAGAAAATCTTTGATGTAAAGATGAAAGTTTGACTTTTCCAGCACTTTTATTGTTTGTATCATTTGACTGTAGAAAAGAGAGATTACAAAAAATGAAAAAAAAAACAAAACAAAAACAAGAACAAGTGATAGAGAAACAGTTTTTGTTTTGGTTGTGTCTATTCTGAATATTTCCCTTCTGTTCGGATGTGCAGGATATGCGAGTATGCCTGCGTGCGTCTCCTCCAGCGTGTTAAATTGGCGATCCTCCAGCTAAATTTTCACTTGGGACAAAGTCACAGCGAGGCAAATCTGGTGAATACGGCAGCTGACAAGCAGACTGTGTTGGTGTGGGTTAAAAAAAACAAACCTAAAAGCACTCTGAGTCAGCACATGATGGCACTCTGCACACACCACAGTTCCCGTTGATTCTTCTGAATCTTCTGCAAATCACTCAAGACGCTACAGTAAATGCCCGTCAGTCCGACTCCGGGGAACAAAGATCAGGGTGAACAACTCGAAAAATGTTCCTAGTTTTGTCCCTTATTTGATGAGCTGCTTTCGTGCTTTAAAACTGGACTTTTCCACTGAAACTATTGAAAACTGCTCATCCTGGCCCACCTCATAGTTTTCTAGTATTATAACAATCCTAGTTTGTAAGATGACCTTGAACAATAAATTGACCAAATAGATAAGGTTCGTGATTTTTATGGTTCTGTTCCCAAATTCTGGGAATAACATTGAGCTGACAAGATCTACTTGGTGCAACTGTAGATTTGGCGTCCCTGCCAACTGTTATATCTGAAAAGACCAGAGGCTTTTCTTTTGTATTTCCTCTATTGAAAGAGATATTTGCACTTTCACAATTTTCTGGAAAACTGAATCAAGTAAGGTCTTCCCAGCTATACTGAAATGAGCAATTCCCTGTTGCACATATGACTTGGCTCACTATTATTTATGTTGCTATGTCTGTAAAGTCTCATTCTTCAGTGTATCTTTGCAGTAAAGAGAGACAAGAGTAAGTGGTGAAACAGCAGTGAAGTCAAATGATCAGTCAGAATTCAAATAGTCAGCCTGTGCAAACAGTAGCTTTGCACACATCAGGTGCAGTACTGGGCAAACGTTTCGAGCTGGCTCTGATTTCTTTATATTTTCCTTGGAAATAGCATTAGAGGAACAAGTCTTAAAGATACATCTACTCCAAGTATTCATAATACAGTCTGAGGATCATGCAAACTGTGGGAGAAACCACAAGATGGGGTTCTGCCAGGAGTTCAAAGGTATGCTTTGGTTACACTTGAAGCCCATTTAAATAACTTGTTTTCTCATTTCTTAGGAGATCTGTTCATGTAATGAAATTTCAATTTTGGTAGCAGCTGGAATGGAAAGTCAGACCGTCATTAGCTTCAACATCCTTTGCAGTACAACAGACTGGAAAAGGGCCACAAAGACACAATGATAAAAAGAAGAAGACAAAAAAAAGGAAGACTGTGAGCTTTATTGCACAAAGCTGAAGCTTACCCAGAGCCACTGTGCCCATTAGGAAAGGTTTTCCCATCTGACTGAAGTCACTGCTGCTCTGAAGGCCGACCTCTGACCCCACTGCAAATGTCACAGCCACCTGAGAGACACACAGACGAGTTCACACACACAGGCCTTCTGTTACATCTCAGGCAGTATATTTTTCCCTAGTTCTAAATAAAAGAAGAGAAACATCAAGTTTTTCTTTGTGCAGGAAGATAATTAATTCTTCCACCGTAACACAACCGAGACAGGACAGTTACATAAAAAAAAACAACAACATTCATTTCTTACTTCTAAAACAAGTTATGTATAAGCACTTTGGGTGACTTGTTATGGTGCACCTGCCCCGCTGTAGGTACCAAAGCACTTTTTAATCTCTTAAACTTGCGAACCCTGGAGAGATAGCAGGTTGGAAGTTTATATTGACATCGAGTGAAACAACTCTGCTATCTAACAAACTTTCAGCATTGCTGTTAGTTTCTCATGCTGACACCACAACATGTGCAAAGGGAAAAAAAACACAAACATATGAAGAGCACCAACATTTCATCAGCAATCAGACAAGCAAAGCTGTGCAAATTATGACATTTTTTTGTGTGTGTTAGTCATACTTCCCATCTAATATTTCAGATGCTATCAACTGTTTCTAAATTGCAAAAATACTTTAGGGCAAATTTACCACACAGCCCAAATTAGTAGGTTGGAAACATCTGGGGTTGATCTACTAGTAATATGCCAAATTATGAACTGAGGTGTACCAGTAATGACCAAGGCACTTTAAGAAGACCACAAAAATTGCATGGAGCCACGAACAAGAAGAACTGTGTCAGGAACCGAGACTGTGCTGGCAACACATATTCAGCTTGTAACTCGCCATCCAACAAAATACTCCAAGCGTACGTTTCCTGAATGAGTTTTTCTTGGAAAACAGCAGAGCAGCACAGACTGAGAGAGACAGGAAAAGAAAAAAAAATCTGCAGTATAATTGGAGGTCTTAGTGGACAAATTGAACAATTTTAGTAACATCAAATTTGCAATGTCCAGCCTGGCCACAAAAGGGACGCATGAAACACGACTGAGGGCAGTGTGACTGCAGCAGAAGGAAATTTCTAAAAGGATATCACAAAATTACAACAGCAATGGATGACTTGAAGTGACACAAGTAGTAAATAGTCATTTTTCTACTTTCACACAGCCCGTGTAGACTAATGTCTTTTTTCCAAACCAAGTTTAGCAAGCTGGAGGTCTGTGGTTCTGATGAAGTCATTTTCTGGCCTGAACAATAAGCCTCTTGCTAGTTTTCTTGCAGTTATGGGACAGCATTTGAAATAGTTATAATCGCGACAGATCATCACTACATTATCAGTAGTGTTAAAGCACTGGAACTTGTTTTTTCAAAATATCCAGACTATACCTGTAAGCATCTCAGAATAGTTTAGACAGGGGTGTCCAACTCCAGGCCTTGAGGGCCGGTGTCCTGCAGGTTTTAGATATCACCCTGGGCCAGCACACCAGAATCAAATGATTAGTTCAATACCAGGCCTCAGGCCACTTCAAGATATGTTGAGGAGGTAATTTAGCCATTTAAATCAACTGTGTTGGATCAAGGACACATCTAAAACGTGCAGGACACCAGCCTTGAGGCCTGGAGTTGGACACCCCTGGTTTAGAGCATTTGCACAGCCTTCCTCATAGTCATCCCATTCACACCACAGACATGTCGTATGAGCCATGTAATACATACAGTGAATGCATATGTTTTATACATTTCTCCCCCCACATGTGGCCTGAGGGACACAGGATAAAGACTAAAACACAAATCTCAGCAGATTCTTTTGCGTTTATATTGTTCTATGTTTTGAAGTAGTGTGTAATGAATGCTCAGTATCGGTGCTGTGATTACAGGCTGTGAATTCTGAAAATGTGTGATTCTGACCACAGATGAAGCTGTTTTGTTGTGCTGGTTTGATTGTTTGGGAACACTTTGAGTTTTGTGAATGTAGTTTGAAAATTGAACTTGATGTTTACAGTTTAGAGAAGAGGGTTGAAGGTTTCAAGAAATGTGTCTTTGCAATCGTGAAAAAACTGTAACCCAGAAATAAAGAGTTGAATTGAGAACTGTCCACATTTGAAAGAAATGAGCTGGTTCAGTTTTTCCAGCGCTGACCGTAACCGCCAACATAACAGAGTGCTCATAAAGAAAGTGTACAGAGCACACTTTGTGCTGAATCAAGCTGGAGGGTAGGCTTTGACTTGATCTTTCATCCCTCCTCAAAGATGTTGTGCCGACATGACTCACTTGTTGACTTTGATTTTTAGGTTACATTGTGCTGTGTGATGCTTTCAGCAACACTCCAGTTTTGGCCTTTGGCTTTTTGAAGTACACAATATTTGCAGTATGCAAATATCGACTCCACAGAGAACAGCTGTAGTTACTGTACGCAGTATCTAAATTCTCTTACTGACCTTTGGTTATTTTTTCAAGAATGCAAAATACATTAACTTTATCATCAAACCATAAACTTTTACAGTCGCCTCATGCCCTGAAATTCTTTTTCTATATTATGATGTACCATATGCTCAGTGAGGTTTTTATTTGGCCTGAGCCACTTGGTTTTTAAACACAGATGAAATTGCTTTGAGGATATCGTTTGATTATTTTCCCGGAAAAGTCAATCATTCCATGAATGTCGTTTGAAAAATGGGTTTCTTGTTTACCGTTTGGAGTAAAAGATGGAAGGTTTCAATGAAAGAAATTCAAGAACTGAAAAACTTTCTGCAATTTCATGTCAGGCGAGTATTTGTGATGTCTAATTTTCATTTCTGCAGCATCAAACAGGATTTGACAACATTTGTTGACATTTTCCATCTCAGGCTGAGAAACAGGAGACAAAACCCACGCTGGAAGCTCACCTGACGTGAACAACAATAGTCATATCAGAAATCAGCTTAACATTTCGTAAGATGAGTAAGTGTGATCTGTATGTTGCCAAAACATGAGTGCAAGAGCAACTGGTGTTTTAGTGCACAAAAACACTATGCACTTTTTTTCAAAAGAACAAGGAAGAGGAAATTGGGGTGAAGGAGACCGGTAGTGTTAAAAACAAATGAAAAAAAAAATAATAATAGCAGCAAGTTAATTAGAGGTGAGAAAAAAAAAGGGATGGGCTGAAAAGCAAAATGTGGAGAAAGACTAGAAAAAATGGGAAAGAGAGAGGAGGACACAGAACTGGTTTTAATGACTTCAAAGTCCTAGACACATATTTCAGCTGATGCTTTTAGGTTATTTCGTAGTTGTTTGATCTAATGTTAGTCCTAAGAATTAAAAAATTAAAAAAAATCTCCCCCTCCTTAGTGACATGGCACCTGACTGTGTCCATGAAAGTAGCATAAGATTATGAAAAATAAATGCGGTTCAAATAAACCTGACCATAAGTTCCATAAATTCTGCCTCCTCTCACCCTATCCCTAACATCCTCCTCTGTCACACCAATCCTCTTTTCCTCCTGTCTAGCAGCTCCATCTTCAACATCTTTTGTCCGATACATCAACAAACCCCTTTGTACATGTCCAAAGCATCTGGGCCCTGCCTTTCAAACTAACTTTGTCTCTGAACGACTCAACCATGTACTCATTTTTAATCCCGTCCCTCCTGGTCAATCCCACTGAAAATCTTTAGCTTCTTCAACTCCACCACCTCCTGTCTTTCTGTCAGTACAATAGTCTCCAAACCATACATCACAGCAGGTCTCACTACTTTCTTGTAAAGGCAAAATAATAGTCTGATCCAAAATTTTCCCCAATTTCTAGTCACGCACATGAAATGAAACAAAACTCCAGCTTTCTCAGCAATCCACAAATGCACAGCTTTAAAACAAGGAAGGATTTCCAAGTTCTGTTTTGTTCACCTCAACCAAGGAAAAATAAAAATTTGGAAAAAAAAGTAATGAAAGAAAAGAAAGCTAAACATTTTTAGGTGCAGGATATCTAAGACTTTGAAGCAGCGGTCAAGTCACTGGAGAGCTCCCATCGAGGAGATGATCACCCAGGTTACGCAAACCATCGTGAGGTTTGTGTAAGAACAAAATAATTGGTAATATTTCGAGAAATTTCCTCATTGTTCCACAGGTGGAGCACGTTACATTAGAGAGAATGGGTGAGTCTGTGGGGTGACTGCTTAAGTAAAATATGGTCCACCCTAACACAAATGCACCACAGGCCTAACTACATTGTCCTCTTCCAAGTGATTTGACCCCCTTGCACCAGGCTGCAATATTCCCTTGCTGTCATGGGAGCGAGTAGCATTAAAGGTTCAATGACAACTTTATTAGAGGTGAGGGTCTGGAATCTTAACCAATTATAAAGCCTGAATAAATGTCACGCTAATTATTTCCAGAAAACCGTGAAATTGTAGTCGATTCTCCGTGAATAATCTACCTTCAAACATAATTCCACAGCTCAGTGCATGAGATTCATTTAAAAGTGTGTGTGTGTGTGTGTGTGTGTGTGTGTGTGTGTGTGTGTGTGTGTGTGTGTGTGTGTGTGTGTGTGTGTAGCATTGCTATGTCTAGCTGATGTAATGGCTAAAGCTACATTCAAGCCTATTTCACAATGACTTAATAGAGCTCTTATCAAGGTGCATAAACTTCATCTAGGCTGCCCTGTTATTTTATTTAGCTGCAGGTTTTTGTGTGGAGCAATCAGTCAGACGTCAGGCCTGAAGGAGCTGCTGGAGCAGCACATCGATTCGGATGAAATTACATAAAGGAGGGAAGAGAGAAGGAATGAAAAAGAAAGGAGAAGAGGAGTGGAGAGGAGGAACAAAGAGGAGAGAATGTGTTTTCATTACAAAGTGAGAGATCCCATGTGAGTGAAGCAAGTGTGACTTTACACACTGTATGTGTAGTTTTTGCGTTTCCTGGCAACTGAGAGGGACATGCTATGATATGAATGGGAGATAAAAGTTGAATAATATGTCCAAAAGTACGCAACCAGGAAAGGGGTCAAAACAGTTTTCATATGTTGTGGGGAATCAGATTGAGATGAGCAACATGGCTTAACCGGAGTTGCATGCTAGCATCTGCTATCTATAGTAGC